AGGGATAAAATGTGAAATTCTTACCAACTCATTAGACATAAAGCAAATTCCTGCAAAAGAAAGTAGATTAGTAAAATTGCAACATATACAAGTTATACAGCAAACTAAAGTATGTATGTAGCAAGGGAAAAACTTCCATGATCCCTACACTTTGAAATCAATCCAATAGACAGTAAAATAAAAAAGAACAAACCTATGGCAACAATAACTGACCAATTTCTTCCCCTTTTCTGAGATAGTGCATAATTGGTAAGAGTTGATTATAGGCAAAACAATGATGGCGAGTTTGTTTGTTGCCACATGTTTGCCCAGTAAAAAACACAGAACTTCAGCCACTCACCAATAAGATATAGTCTTCAACATAAAGGCCAAACTCTGAAGCATTCATTGCTTGAACCATCAAAAGCAATAGCACTAATCATGTGCTTGTAAAGCACACGTTAAGAAAAAGAGAGAGAGAGAGAGAGAGAGAGAGAGAGAGAGATAGGGAGACATGAGGAATTAGCAGTATATATAATAGCCTCTTAAAAGTTAATTAAAGTTTAGGAATGTGCATATTTAAAGGACAACTGTGAATACCAGATTAGACCCACATGGTGACCAAATAGAAATTTGCTCCACAAAGATTGTTCTAAAACAACACAATCTTGTAAGTAAATAAACAATCAGCTTGTTATCTCCAAAGACTCCAAGATGCGAAATTGCAATAAAGCAAGTCCAACTATTTTAAATTCTCTCTAAACACTATTGAGTTTTGTTAAATTGCTTAGAAGCATAAGCTTTTTTCAAGAAAATACACTATTTTTCAGAGATTCAGTATATAGGATGTTAGATTTGCAAACATTTGGTCCTGTGAAAACGTTTTCTGCATTTGCACTCCTTTTTCACTCCACCTTTGTATAACTTTCTAAAGGTACACAATTATTTACAAGTCCATGATTATGGGCTTATGGTTTCTCCAGGATGGTGGATTTTCTCATTTTTGTTAATATTTTTTATTTCAAAATAATCTCCCATTCTTAATGCATTCAAAGGGAAAACCAACAATTTGTCTTATTAATAACAAGCAATCATAAAATTATTTGTTCATATTGTAGATTTTAGCTAACTGTATTTTTCTTGGTGCAGGTTATTTTCGCATATCAACAAACGAAATATGTGTGAGGATGGCAAGGCTAACACCCGGATTCTTTTTTGTGGACCTCATTTTGCAGCTTCACATAACTACACCAAAGAATACTTGCAGAACTGTCCATCTATCCAGGTTTTTTAATTGATGAAATAATAATAGATGGCAAACAGGACTTTAGAATTGCTTAATCTGATGAACTTTTATACCTCTTATTTCATAGGTTGATGATCTTCCATTTGCTAATATACCTGATCTTATTGGCAACTATGATATTTGTGTGGTGAAAAGCATGCGACTTAATTCAGATATTATTGCTCGTGCAACTCGGATGAAGCTCATAATGCAGTATGGTGTTGGCTTAGAAGGTCATTGTCCATTTGCTTAATCTTTGTGTATTGAACTATAGAACTAAAATTTCTGACCTTCGAGCACTCTAAGAAGTCCAACTACTTCTATGAATTCAATTCTTTTTCAATCTTTTAATGAAGGTATTGATGTAGCTGCTGCTACAAACCATGGAATAAAAGTTGCAAGAATTCCCATTGGGGAAACAGGAAATGCTGCTTCATGTGCTGAAATGGCCATCTATATCATGTTAGGTCTTCTCTGCAAGCAAGTAGGTTCTCATACTAATCTACTAACTAATACTTTTATCAATTTACATTTTCATGTATGTTAATACAGTAGGTTGCTTTCTACAAGTTTCCAGTTTTAATCATAGCTATTGCATTTGATCAATTCAGATTACATAAATGGTGAAACATAGTAATAGAGGCAAYTAATAGCAGATGTGATGATATTTATAAATATAGAGGCTTTTGCATTTAAGATCAAACATTAGCACAAAGGTATATGTGTAAGTGTGCAACACAGAGTGTTGGCAAACTTAAGGCAAATGGGTTATGCAAATACTCCATATAAATAAATGCATTGGAAATTAGATCTTGGAAACATCCTCAACTCGGATAGGAATTTGTGGTTTGGTAATGCAACCATGTCGCCAGGAGAGTGCATAAAATCAGGTTGTTAGGAACGTTACAAACCAAGACAAAATTATGTAATCAGATATTTTGAATATTAAAATTATTTGTATCAGTCAGCGATTCAAATATAGAGCAAGACAAAAGGTACTTTAAATTAAACCCATGTCCTCACAATGACAAAATGACAAAAGAAAAAATGTAGGCATGAAAGATGACTTGTTCATAGAAATGATAAATGTAGAAGAGCTTGGTGAAGAATTGAAGAAGTATGAACATATGTGATCTTAAAGCATATAAATACATAAAAAATATAAGTTATTGAACAACTAACCTCTATATCAAGTTTTGGGACTTCTCTCTCAGCATGCACACCTAAAGCAAAACGGAAGGATAATAGAAATCAATTAAAAATCGCAAACGAAAATGTTAGCAAAGTTCCCGCAAACACGCCTATGTACCTTATTCATTATATCTGGCATGAACTTCTGCCCACCAAATCCAAGTTTCACAGTCATAACAAGAATCATTTCAACTGGATTTTCACCTTCAAGCTATGAACCAATGGAATGAAAATATTAATCTATAAGATCAAATAAGAACAACAACACAAATCTATGGAATGGAGGTAGTACCGAATCAAATCGACACCCTAAGAAACATAAAAAAGATCAAATAGGAAACTTCGTACCTCAAAATCCGTATACTGATAGTAGCAAATTCTCGAATTGCAAACATAGTCAACAGAAATCGAAATCTCTTATAATTTGTTTGAAGCGATAACCCAAATCGATCCTTATAGGGATGGCGAGAAAGACGAATTGGGATTAGGGATAAGATATAAATCAAAATCAAAATCTATCTCATAATCTGAAGCGATAACCCAAATCGATTTCATCAAAATATCTGGTCGGTCATGGGTTTGAAAATCGATTGGGATTGGGTTTGGGTTTAGATTAGGGAGGCGATAAAATGGGGAATTTGTTTTATGGATGGCGATAAGAATGATTGGTTTTAGGGATGTGGCTTTAATAGATTGTACTATAAGCTTAAAAGGTTATTTTTAAGAGTTTAAGAGTTTAAGAGTTTTAAGAGTTTTTAGCCAAATGCATTATAAGATAGTATAGATACACATTAATATAAACTCAACAATCATATTAAATCCAATAAATAAAAGGATATCGGGTTCATTTGGTTGGGATGAGTTCAAATAATAGTAACCCAATATCAACCAATACCTACGGTTTGAAAATTTTACAGCTCAATTAGACATCGGGTTGCTTCGGGTTGAGTTATTTCACATTGGGTTGGTTTGGGTTGATCGGGTTGGTCGGGTTTTTGAGCACCCCTAATTTTAACTTTATATCATTTTACATTCTTATTTATAAAATTTAGTATAGTAAAAAATGTACAAAAATTATCCTCAAAAAACTCGACAAATTATAAAATTGTATAAAAATTTGGGCTATTAACAATCCATAGAAATTATATAAAAATATGTACAAAAAAAAAAAAAAAAAAAAAAGTCAATTTAAAAGTGTATACAATAGAAAATAAAAAATTAAATTATATAGAAATACGTAAAATTTATATATAAATTTGAGATATTAATTTAAATATAAAAAAAAATACAATTACTCTAGTTATACATTATTTATTTATCAGTTATATTTAAATATAATTATTTTAATTATATTAATAAATAAAACTGACTAAATGTAAAACTTTTATAAAATTATGTAAAATTAACACTCATTAAATATGAAAAGTACCATTTGCTTTGTTAAAAATTACGAATTCTGTTTTAATATTTTCAAAGTTAGAGTTTTCCTCTCTACAGTTTATAGTTAATTGAAATCATATGCTTATTCACTATGTTTATATGTTATAACGCTTCAAATCCTTTTTTTTAAGGTATACCTCAAATACTACTGTATGGGTCAACATTGTCAATAACATCAAATCTGCAAGAATAAAGGAATACCTCGATACGTGTAACATCAAATCTACAAGTACAGAGGTATGCTTCACGATACATGTACTAGATCACATCAATCGACTCCTACATACGTTCTCTAACATGTTTCAAGTTGACTAGACCAAAGCAAAATGATCTCAGAATTGAACCTGTAACAAAATTCAATGATATATGTGTCAGAGAGTTTTAGCACAAAATGTGCATGTAGAACTTTTATATACATCTCCCTTGAATCCAGAAAGTGAAATTTCACCTCCATCTGAGTTATACTTGATTTTATACCAATTTTTTATAAAACCAGTGCGCTGATGCTCAAAAATCTGACCAATTTGAAAGAACTTACGATATTTCTCAACATAGAACCAAAATTCGGTTTGGTTCGTATGAACAAAAGTTGTGGCGAACCTCTTAACCTTTCCAGAAACATATTGCACATTTTATTTCCATAAAAGAGCAATTTACAATCAATTTACAAACAACACAATTTTTCTGATTCAATCAGAGCAACATAACATTTGCGTCTTCGCTTACTACCATGGCCTTTTGGCATCTTTTTCGATATCATTCATCCACAAATCCGTTCCTTGGCATCCTACGCTACTAAAACCACAATATTATGAAATTTTAACATAAAATCATACCTTGATAGATGAATTCATCCTTTAAAACTCACTGTAAGTTTTTTTTTGTTCTTGAACCACCGAAGCTCCACATTTTCTCTTCTAGCCTTTCATCTCTATTTCGTGTAGGTTATCGTATGGGGATAACCTTCTCACTTTTTGTTTTGATAATTCTATAATTAAGATAATAATGATTTATCTTTAACTCCTTCGAATTCTTTGTCTTGTGGGAGTTATCCTTGATCTCAAATTTTGACCAATTCAACATCTTTCTTTTATATATATATATATATATATATATATATATATATATATATATATATATCAATGATGAGAGGGGAAACTCATGGATTGATCCATCTGACAGGACATGAGAGAATAAAACGCCACTTCCTTCTACACCCTAATTCTTCCAACAACCCCTACTCTCACGAAAATTCTAAACGCCGACTTGTCATCCATCTTTGATGGTGATTGACGAAACTACATCTTCTACATTGGCATCAGATGTTGTTCCTCAGCCTTCCCCCGAGGTTCAATTGATCCATTTGGAAATCAAGAAAATACATAAGCATCATGGGCAGAACTCTTCAAAATCCACGCACGTGTGTACCAAGTCCTCCATCACATCATATCGCCACGAGATGAAATAGTTCCAGCCTCTCTTTCGCAACACCTTGATGTTGTATTCCTATAATGGATATACGACACCATTTCAATGGATCTACTCGATAGTATTTTGGAACCCGGTGCAACGCCACAACAAGCATGGAATCATCTCATCGACAGATTCCAAGACAACAAAATCTCAAGGGAAGTACAACTTGAACATCAATTCTCTCGTATGTTTCAAACTGACTTCCTGAATATTTTCGCGTATTGCCAATTGTTGCATATTTTGATACGTGTCACTAAGCCCAACCCCAAGCCTAAAAAGCCCAAATTGTTTTGGACCAGTTGGAGGCTCACTTTGGACTAGCTTAGCTGCTGTTTTTCAGGCCTTCTAGGTGCTGATTTTTCAGCTTACAAGATAAGGTTGTCGTCTTCTTCTTCTTTCTTTGAGCGACTTTGGTAAACATGGAAGGCAAGTTAGGGAGTTTTATCTCAAGATTGTAGGATCTTCTTGTTAAAGTAAACTCCATTGTAATCCCTCCCTTTTGTTCATCAGTATATACAAGCTCCATCTTTCCCTTATGGATGTACTATCTCACGATATTGGAACTACATTAAATCTCGGTGTTATTGTGTTTGTTTGCATTTACATTGTTTGAGTTTCTTTTTGGATTGCATTTTTTACTTGTTGGTACTTTTGTGCATTGTATTGTAGAAATTATCTCCAACAAGTGGTATCAGAGCTATTGGGTCAATTTGTGGTGTGTTTTCAGGCTAATTACTTGTAGGAGGATTAGTTGAGTTTAATGCACACCAATTGTTCGATAAAATATCTGGCCAAGAACAAAATGTTTTTGGTTCTTATAAAAGTGGTTCTTCATCATCGTGACTTTATGTAAAGGGGTCGTACAATGATCAAGGAACCGCTTTGTAAATTGAACAATGGAATGGTGATGGGTATTTTGGTGAATGACAATGGAAGATGAAGGTCGTTTTGATGGTAAATAGGTGGTATCTAGTTGTGTATGCTCCTGAAGACCTAAATCCCGATGTATAGACTGTTGAAATGATCGAGATGAAGCAATAGGCGATGAACCGATTGTAGTTAGCTATAGGAGACGCAATGATAGGACAAATTAGCTCGGAGACTACACTGGATGGTATTTGGTCTAAGTTAGAAGACTTGTATTTGAAGAAAATTTCACCAATAGGATGATTCTATTGAACTTATGTGTAAACTTTCCTATGGTCGAAGGGACAATGATTAAGGAACACATAACGAATTTCGATGACTTGTTGACGAAGATAAGGTTGGCAGAATTGAAGCTTGTTGAAGACTTCGAAGCTTTAGCCATGATTTTGTAATTTTCATTACCAGATCAATACAAGGACATGGGGTTTCTTAAATTTGGCTCTTTGAGAGATATTCAACGCCATTTCACTACACCCGACGACCCTCAATAAAGTGGGATTTCCAAAAGGATGAATCATACCTTGTTGAAGAAGGCAATACGCATGCACATCACTGCGGGTCTTTCGAAAGAGTTTTGGGCCAAGGTATTATCCACCTCCGTTCACATAGTGAATCAAATTCCATGCTCGGGAATTGGCGAGAAAATTCTCGAAGAGGTATGGAAAGGAAAGAACAATTTATGTTTAAGTTATTTTGGAGTTTTTGGTTCGCCCATTTATGCTCAGCGAAAGGGGAACGACAAGTTGGAGCCTCGTGTTATCCGGGGTGTCTTACTTGGTTATCTTGAAGGGCTTAAGGGGTATCGAACCTGGTTTCCCAAGACAAACAAGATCATTCATTCTCGACATATGACTTTTAATGAGTCACATTTCTTCGAGGTAAAGACCCAATTGTTGAGGCTTTTAATAAAGAGGATGTTGTGGATCCCATGATTCTAATACCTACCTGAGTTAAGGGCCCTATTGGTACCGGGTGCATCCCTGCCGGTCCACCTCCTACACTACAACCCTGGAGATTGTCAGAGAACCAACCTTTGAAATAGTTAATGACGATAATGGTTCACCTTAGTTATCTCCCAATGCCCATGTTGATAATTTTAAAGTTGGGGAGATCTCGAATCAAGATGGAACCATTAATCAAGAAGTCCGTGAAGATGAGAATCTTCGAAGGAGCCAACGTAGCCAACGCGCTCCTATGAAATATGAGACTGGTTGTATACTAGCTTGAGCTTTAGTGAACAATTTGATTATGTCTTAGTGTCACTGTGAAAGATCATTATGACTATGAAAATGCTATTATGGCATGTGATAGCGGGTCATGGCTTGGAGATATGAAAGAAGAGATGCAATCGCTGAAGAAAAACCGAA